ACGAAGATTCCCTAAAGATAGCCAAACGGCAGACTTTGACATACATCTTCCAGGACAAACTCTTTAAGTTAATGCATAATGCTTATAATGGCTTATTACCGAAACAACTATGTACTGGTATCATTAACAAGAGGGTGTCGTGTTATGCATTTAGGGGGACAGATAATATTGTTGTACCTAGATTTACATCTCGTTATTTACAGCAATCTATAAGTTACAGAGAGGCAGTCCTCTGGAATGCAATCACATCGAAAAACTCTGATATTGCTTCTGAGCCACGTAGAACTATCAGCTCTAGATTAAGTAAAATTAAAGATTTCACAGAGTTTACTTTTAAAGTAGAATCAGCTTCTACAGTTGATTTTAGCAATCGGGATTTTATATATTTTAGGATTTTAAGATATTACAACTGTATTTATATGAGATTTTAGCATTTGTTAAGAGCGTTAAGCTATTTATTAAGTTTCTTATTAGTTTGATTGGATAACTAAACACACGAACCCATAAGCGTTAACTTTTATCATTCATCTGTATAAATAAAGTTGATGTATGTATATATTTAGAGAAAATTTAAAGCCAACTTTAATTATGTGCAGTACTAAATTACCTTCCGATATTAACATGACTTTTCATAATCACCAACCCTACCTAACTGCCTAAGTCGGAGGAATTATAGGAATAATTAATCATGTAAAATTAGTATGACTGACTTTAGCAACAAATCATCTGATCCCTGTGGCAAGAGTAGCTGATTCGTCATCTCATAGTATAGACTGAGAAAACATGAGATCGAGAGATCCACGTGGGCTGGTAGCGTTGAGATATTTAAAGATTATCGGCAGCGTGAGGCAGCCCACGTTCACGTAGAAAGTCATACAGCTCACCCACTGTTCTTAAGTCGTGTCGCATGGCGAGAACATCCATTAAGGAAGTGCTCTCTCGGTATCTCATGTCGCTTTGTCTCAAATCCAGTCTCCTTGTTGGATCCCAAGCTTCGGAATAAAGAAAACTAACATTCACCTTAATTGTGCGTCATGGAATATGACTTGTTTATAATTTAACGCCCAATAGACCATCAAGTTATATGATTGACTTACTTTATGAATTGTTATCAGGAATATCCTCATGGACCATTCTAATGAAAAAAGTATGACATATCTGCAGTATGGTTTCATTTCTAGTATGGGTCTATGTGATGCACTCAACCCACTTTGGTAGAGTAGTTGTAAAAGTAGAGACACTATTCCAGACTCATTAGTGATAACAGAAGTTTTTCTGCTCTTTCAGTATTTCTTATTTAAACGAGAAGACCAAATTTTATAATTTTTTTTGGTGATATGTAGTTTTTTATGTGTTCTTAAAACGCCTCGCGACTATTATTTTCATGGTGAACAAAGACAAAGCGATACAAAGTATGAGACTGAAAATATGTGCAAAGGGGTCCATTACATGATACGACGTGACTCCACAAGTTTGCTGGTTCAATAAAAGTGACTGCAAAGGGAATTTGTCCCTCGGCCGGTTGCCAAGCAACCACATCTTATTATATTGGGTCACCTTAATCCGGGCTGAATTCGGAAAAAGTTGTTATCACCGTGAACGTTGATAGCCTGGAACATACCACAGGCCACTGAATAAATAAAGAATGATACATGGGCGCGCGTAGATTTGGAATTTCTCTTCGAGTGTTTAAATCGATTGCTGACGAGTGAGCGCAGCGAACGAGTGAAATGTCGAGTTGAACCCGAGAAGAGAAATTCCATATCTACAAGCAACCATGTATTATTTTGTTTATCATATAAACACATGAATGAAAATAAATGAATCGACAATCCCCGAGTAACAATCGCAGAGTGCGTTGGCGCTAACTCCTAAGATGGAAAATGCATGGAATCATGATTACAAAAACCAGAATGGTCGTAATTTTCAATTTACAAAATTCTCATTTATTGACTTTGTCCTTACCGACAGAAGAAGTCTTTCAGGTAAATGATCAAAATCGGCTGGTGGCAAATCTTTCAGTTGTCGAATTTCATTCTTAGCCGAGAGAAATGCTAACAGCAAAGCCACTGAATACATAACTTTCGGTTCTTATTTTAGTATATTGGTTTTCTTCCCCCTCTAGGAAAGTTTGAACCTCACTGTCTGTCAGCAATACGGATTTTTTCGTGTTTTAGCCGCCATAATTCGAGAAAGCTCCAACAAACAACTTGTATTGAGAATCGTGAAGGCTTTGCTGTTAATTCATCAACCTGACCGAGTGGCGCCAAAGGCGAGTGACGTATCAGCAGCTGATTGGCTATATCAACACACGTGAAAAAATACGATATTTTTCCACGTGTGTTGTTAGGACTTTCTCGGGCCGGAAATCCCTCTATAACACCGCAGTTTATGTGATAAATGTATTTACTCGTGGTGGCTCTTATTGGACGACTATTTCACAAAACGTTACTTACATTTCAAAACTTTTGAAAAACCTTTTTTATATTCTGGCATCTCCTTGATGAGCATATTCTCAGGTAACCGAGGACCTGAAAGAAAAGAAGAGTCGGTTAAGGAATAAATACTGACTTTGACTCAATGCATATGGCTTCACACATAAACGTAGAATCGTAATAAAGGCTCGACCACACGAGTCGAATGATTCGAAACTATGATTTATGGAATTCATGAGGACCTTCCCCCTCCCTCCATTACGGTGGCCCACAACTGTCGAGGCAAAACAAAGAAAACGAGTTGGTCAGCGGTTGTTATTTGCATCTGAAATGGTTGGTCGTGTAACAGTAACAGTAACAGTAAGACACTGCTCGCTCGAAAACCGCCATTTTTCGAGCTCACGATGTTTTGCACGGCGTGTGGTTCGGTGATAGATTAAGATGTAAACTTTTGTAAAAGCTGTGGTAGAGGTACGTTTCTTAATTTAAAGTGTTCGTATTTGCATTTCTTTTAGTTCCTAATAACGATAAGCGTGAGAAGACACCGCTACAAATTAGCTGATTAGCATTTTTCTGGAATAAGATTGTGCATGTAGCCCGTGTGTAAAAATAAAACCTTCATAATGTATAGGCCTTGATGAAATAAGGATTTTTCAACAGGTAGCAAAATACTGTACGCCTGCAAACAATTAGAGAGCACGAGGTTAAAGGCCAAAACATTCCTGATTATTTCCAAAATCATTTATCTTGAGTTTTATTGATGTCAAACAGACTTTGGGAAATAGCACTGTTTAAAGTAAAGTTTCCTCTGAGGTGTAAGCTACATTATTTTGCTTCTTTGTTTTTTTTCCACCTGTTGAAAGATCCTTAATTCATCAAGGCACATACATTATGAATGTTTTCTTCTTACACACAGGCTACATGCACAATCTTATTCCAGACACGTGCTAATCAGCTAATTTGTAGCAGTGTCTTCCCACGCCTATCGTTATTTGGAACTAAAAGAAATGCAAATACGTACACTTTAAATTAAGAAACGTACCTCGCGTTTTTTCGCTGTGTTGATAAGAACTTTGAACTTTGTTGTTTTTCCGCGACTAACTTTCTCTTTTCAGCTGTTGTTGAGCGAAACGGAATAAATTCATTACACCACTGATCATTAACCTTAGCAACGCGACCCAACTGATACTTTTTTTTTTAGCTAGTTAGGCGAGAAGACCGATAGCCCAGTTTTCCCGCAGTCATTTTTTTTTGTAAACACTTCGATTGCCTTTCATGCTCCACAACTGGTTCGAAACAGAAGGCTGTTTGTTTTCAAAGGAACAGAGGAATAGATGATGATTGTCACGGCCACGCCACGATCTATAAATGGTTCCCCCGCCGTGTCTATTCTTAATTCAAAACCTTTAAAAGCAAGTTGGTGCGAAGTTAGTTTAATGAAAAGTATTTCCTGGTTTGGTTTTTCCTGGGTTTCTTCCTTCCGTACTTCTGTTTTATTTTATTCAAATAGTTCACGAATCTGTATTGCGTAATGTAACGTTGTAACTCGATAACTTATATTCAAATTTAGATTCAAATAGTAACAAGGACATTATTCTGCAACTGATTATGACATAAGCAATATCCAAACATGTCTTGCAAACTTAAAACTGTTCCTTGTTTTTCGCAAATTGTTTCCTATTTGAATTTCACGGATTAAAAAGAATTCGATGTTAAAGGCTTTCTGATTATTTTGTTCACAAGGCATCATGGTTATGATTGCTCAAAAATTAATTGAGAAGTATTGAGAAGGATTTAAGGAAATGATATTAAACAACAAACCTGTCGTTCCTGGTGGTGTAATCTCTCTTAAGTACTTAAACACGTCGAATCGTTTTAAATTTTTGGCTTTTCTTGCCAAGACACGGATAGCTCTTTTGTTCCCTGTGGTCGGATTTTTGAAGAAGCCTTGATCTAGCTGCAGAGGGTTTTTCAATTGTTGTATAACGGCTTCAGCACTGCTTGACGATAACAAAATAGGTTCTACAATATAACAAAAAAGAAAAACAGTGTTTACGATTACAGAATAATTAACCAGGATGCTGAACACAAACTATGTGATGGTTGCTCATGAATTGCCTAAATTCGGGTTTGCTGCTCTAGGTGTTTTAAAATCAGGCCCAATGCAAGTTTAAATAAATCAACTGCCAGAAGAGGGATGAATGAAATTTCAAAGGGGCTGTTATGCTATATCAATACAGTAAGCTTTCAAGTTCTTAAAAAGTGCGAGTTTCAGCCATACAAAATACGAAATAAGAATTTGGTCGTAATCACGTTCATCCGCTAGCTAATTCAGATTGACAGGCTTAACTGGAGATAGAAGAAAACTTCACATTCCAAGTTGACTGGTAAATATTTGTTGTTGCTGTTTTGTTTTTTCGTTTTTTGACAAAAACACTGTCATTTGAAAATATTGTTCTAAACCCGTGTTTGTTCAGATCCAAAGGCAAATAAATATACAGCTATTCGAAATATAAGATATCATTAACAAAGACTGTCCTCATTTGTAAGTGCTTTAGTAATGCTATGATTTTTAGCAGGTTTATTCAACTCATTCTTATCCATATTCCATATGCGTTATTGACCAGTTTAAGGTCAAGATGGGTGGATATTGGCCGGTTTTTACTTTTTTTTTCTTGTGCGTTTTATGGACCGCAGCCTATTCGAGTTCCGTAAAAACGAGATTAATATCCACTCATCTTGACCTTTAGCTTGACAATATAACGCATATGGAATATAGAGGCCTCTGAGTAAGAATAAACATGCTAGGGGTTACGCGTATACTGATTAAAAAACCAATTCCAAATGAGGGCGCTTTGACTGTTTGGTCAATAAAATATTTATTTATTGTATGGCAAAAAGATCTCGCCGACTTCGATGAAAATTAAGAATGAATTGTTTGTGTTTGAGCGCTGGACATTACTTGACAAATTGAAAAAAAGCTGATTTCACAGGATTACATTGTTGATGGGTAAACGTCAAAAACGTTGATTAAAATCAATTAGAAAGCTGCACAAGCTCCCAATTTTTCTCCTGAGCGGGATTAAAGTGGGAAATCCCAAGTGGGCAAAATGGGCCTATCATGTCCACTCAGCCAGCCAATCAGCGCTCAGGAATCGCCTCCTCTTGCCCACGGGTGCTGTCAGCTACGTAACACGTAGAATTAACACACAACCGTAAGGCCTCACGTGCGCAGTCTCAAAGAAAACCACAATGAAAGCCGGTCCGGAAAAACCGCCCGGCCCGCTACTCACACGGCTATTTTGTATTTTCCAACAACGCGGTTTAAAATTGTGAACTTCAACTTGAAGTAAAACAAATGAGAAAATGAGTTGCGCTTCTTAGCGAATTATGAGTTTCTTGCTCTGACTCATCGGAAAAAAGTATTTACAGTAAAATCTTGATATCAGTCGTCCAGTTCGCCCTTCTTTTGAACCCAAGTACGTCCTTTTTAAGTTGAAACGAAAGTTTTGAAATTTTCAACACTTGGTGGTCACATGATAAAATGCTTACTGTTTAAGTTTGGTCAAGCTGAAAGGGTAAATATTTGGCTCTCGGTCAGTTTCGCCCAATGAATCGATAAGTACATAGTATAGCCCATAGCCACTCTGTCATAATAAGGTACCCTCCCTAAACTAACTAATGGTGACTGTTGTAGAGTCAACCATTTGATTTTTATGAGACTGACCTGCAATCATCCACTCTTTTTCCATCTCTTTCACGGTTCCTAGAGTCATTCTGATCTTTTCCAATTCTTTCCGTATGCTACGATATTTACGTCCTGGAAAAAATTGAGGATGTAATATTTCTGAGTCTCAAATTCATATCAAACAGAATGGTCTCCAATTCGTGAAACAGTCGTAGTCCACCCTATATTAAAGATCTATTGTCATCAGCTGCTAATTATGCTCTTCTATTCGTCTTTTGTTCGTTCCAAGAGTCAACTTCTTTACGCTTGGGATCGTGCCTCACTCATACTGCTCCTGTCTTTTGGAACTCACTACCATTATCGATTAGAACCTGTACAAGCCTCGCAGTTTTTACTGAACTAACTTTAACCCACAGCCACACATGACCACCAGGCGAAATCCAACAGAAAGAAGAGGCGCTAAATTTCCATTGCACAAGAATATTAAACCAGTATTAAACCCTCATCTAGATAGCCCTTTGTTCGTGTGTATTTTTTTCAAATGAAAATTTGTATTGTCCGTGATAGTAACAGCTTTAAAAGTCAATCATCTTATCAACTAATTAAAAGTATGATTAATTCGTTGAAAATAATCAATTGATCATATAACCTTCGTACGGGTATGCATTTCTGTATGCTTCCTGAAGGCTGTCCCAATTCTCACTGACATCTTTGATTAACCCTTCAACCTGGTCGAGCTTTTCAAGTCTGTCTCCTGAGGATTTATGAACAGAATAAGAAGATGATAAGTTTTGAACTCGGCAAAGAAATCGATAAAGAAATATAAGAAATCTAAGTTTCCAACCACTTCATGGCCAAACTCAACGCAGAGTCTCAGTGGTGGATCTGAGCCCCGGAATTCAAATATCTGAGACTCGATTCCTCATGCGCCACATGCGTCTTTTGTCCTTCGTGTTCGAGTGAGTATTGGAGGATGTACTTTCATACCTGAGCTACATTTTTTCGAGACAGTCTTTACACCCAACTATCATCAAAGTAAAAAGGCCAGTTCTGTAACGATTCTGGCGTTTTCCCAAGTAACCGACAAGACTATTAACACAAAAGTAAGGTTTCTGACATCAACATTTATGGTTACATTACAGTTGACTCGCGTAGCCGAGAGGGAAAGACATTCAATGATAAGAACTCAGCGAGAATCAAGCTATATTTCTCAGCAACTCATACCTATTCTGTTAAGAATTATCATTCAGTGAGACTAACAATCACTTTCACCTTTGTCAAATCCATATTCAGAAGTCGCACTACTCAAAGTCCCAGCTCCGCTATCACTCGGTAGTGTGATTTCGCTGAAGGTCTCTTGAAGATTTTCCAAATATTCTTCTACTCGCAGTTTTCTGTCAAATGGTAAAAACTCCCTCTCTGGAAAAGGATCTCTTGTATTGGCTGTGGTCATGTTTCGTTCTTTCAGAAGGTCTGAATCAGAACTTGCCCGTTCTTTTAATCCTCTTTCCTCTTCAAGTTTCATCTCTAAAATTTATAGTCAAAAAAAGCAATATAATGTTGAATGAAGCGGTGGGTTCCACATTATTTGCAAAAGAGAATTGAGACATTGAGCATTCTTCCTCACTTGGATGATCATCAAGCTCTCGGAAATAAATCATATATATCCGAGTGACAAATAACCCAAAAGGTAAGTGAAACTTTAGAACGAATGTCACCAATGGTCAAACATTTGGTGGCAACAGCTGAAAAATTAATTTCGCCCATATTTCAAAGTTTAGTAAGTCTCAATGGGAAATAAGTCACAGCATACTTCTTTTGGTTGAATATCGTTTATTTTCGAGAAAATTGATAATAACTGAATTCCACCAAAATGCCGCTTTTGAAGCTCAAAATTTCAGGCGAATCTCGGAGCGTTGCGTCACAAATTGAAAAACTATCTGGACCGATAAAAAGTACCAAATCTTAAAAAACAGCATCAAAATATATTTTGTCGGCAATTTGAGCAATCCTTGACGATTTATTTACACAAGGGAATTGAATTTATCCAACCAACTTCTGACTACAAAAAAATAGGTTAAAAGTAACCCGTTATGTACCTATGTGCCACACAAAATAATTAGCTGAAAATCTGGCTTTTGGAAGGCAAAGTGCAGTTCTTTTCGATCTTCAAAGGATTTTTTTGGGAAATGATTCAGCGCGATTTAATTAAACTTTTACGTCGGATAAAATGAGGTCTACTGAAATCGACAACTCTTCAAAAAATAGTACATTGGACTGTAAAACATGTGGCTTCGGGAACTTAGGTCAAGTTTTAAATATGCGAAACAGGAGCAAACAATCATCTAACCCCGATCATAATTAAACGTCTCATGATTAAATGAATCTTGGTATTTTTTAAATTATTGTTTAAGGTGGATAAAGCGAAAGATCTGCAAAGGGCATAGTCCATTACTGCAGATGTGTAATAGAGCAAAGTGTATAAAAAAACCGTATAAAGGTCAAAACCACAACTTTCACTGAAATTTTTTAACTAGCCGACGTCCCACAGATTTATATTTATATTTATACCTCTCCTTTCCGCGACGCTCCGAGATTCGCCTGAAATTTTGAGCTTCAAAAGCGGCATTTTTGCGGAACTCAGTTATTATCGATTTTCCCGAAAACAAAGAGATATTCAGCCAAAGGAAGTTTGTTTCTCTCTAAGGCCTACCTAACTTGAGCATATGAGCCGAATTGATTTTTTGGCTGTTGCCTTTATATTTTGAAAAAGTTCGATTTTGGCCACATTTGCTCTTAAGTTGTCTGAAAATTGCATTTTTGAGCACAACTCAAAGTTACTTTTCGAATGAGTTTTAGAAACAGAAATATCGACTCGTTTGAAGTCAACGATTTTTATATCACAGTGGTTTTTTCGCGGAGGAATTGCGGTTGTCATTTGGATAATAAATCGAGAGGCTGTTGCTACTTGAAGAGAAAGAACAACCCGTTGGACATTTTGATCGATTATAAGCAACTACTCTTTCCCAGCTCAATCTGTCGGTCGACCAAAGAAACACAAAAAGTGATGTTGCGATTCACAGGTATTCTTTAAACCCACGCGACAGATCAGGCTGAAAAAGATGAAATATAACAAGTATACAATTTTAATTTCTGCACCATGGATCTTTTTGCAAACCCAAATATCTGGACTTAAAACAATTTATGTTAGTGATAAGGAAGTACGTTTGCGAACAAAGAGTGCCTATCAAATAATTTAGAAGTATTAAAATCGATTCTCCTCCAAAAGAACAAAGGAATTCTAGTTCATGTAGATATAATCAACCCGTACACAATAATGATAACGCGTAGTACATGATGTCTTGGAGAAGGGCGGAAAAAACTTAATGAAACCACAGTTATCCTTAAACCTGGTAACTTCCCCCAACCCCACTTGGCTAAAGATGTAACCATCGCCAGAAATCAAGGACATTTCAAGCCCGCTAACAATTATCAACAGTATATCGTACCAGCGATCACGGCTCGATCTGCAAAGAAGAGTGTTTCGTACCATGACTTATACAATTTGAACACCACAGATCTTCTATTTGATGAAAAGAAAAAGAAAAGAAGACCTGCAAGTAAATCTTTGGGATTTTTCGAGGCAGAACGATGACATGATGTCAGAATTTTGATTTGCTTTAATTTAATTTTCGCGCTAAGACCACTGAATTTGCATTCAATGTCTGGCATATTTTTATTCCGAAAAGGACCGAGAACTAATTTATTTCCCTGCAAGAACATAAACAAATATGGCCGACGATTCGAAGATCAGCGTTGCTCGCGCTAAGACTACTGAATTTGCATTCAATGTCTGGCATATTTTTATTCCGAAAAGGACCGAGAACTAATTTAGTTCCCTGCAAGAACATAAACAAATATGGCCGACGATTCGAAGATCAGCGTTGCTCGTGTTTAACTATTTCAGTCATAGTTTTCAACATGGCGTCTCGTCACTTACTCACCATGGAAAATAAGGGATATTCTGGCGCGTTGTGAACTTTTTTGATGAGAGTAAATTGCAATTTTACAGGATTTTTGGACGCTTCGAACTCTGTAGCAGTCAATTCGATCGAGAGCAGTTGACTTTATTGATGCACTTTCCTGTAATAGGTGAGTGTTTGGGATGGAGAACGACGGATTTTGAAGAACTTTATGGCGACCTAGGTCAATAATCAATGACAAAAGAACTGGCTCGGGAAGTAAGTGGTTTTTATTTATCGAGTCCCTGTGAGGTTTGATGAATAGCAGATTCAGTACTGTCGTCTTGATCGAGAGCAGACGGGACCATGAGCTCCTGATTGTTATATTTTAGAAATTTTACAAATTTCCAAACAGTTTCTTACATTATTTGGACGCCATTATGGACGAAATGCGCGAGCGCGGCCGCCATCTTGTCCAATATTTCTGCCGATGCGTATATTTGTCCTTTGTCAACACGCAAATTTGCCTCTTCATTCGCGCCAAAATTGAATGCAATTTCAATCGAATACTGTTATCTCACGATAGGTAAGATTAAATCAAGAAACATCAGCTAGAGTATAGAACTGGATGGTTGTGTATGAGCTGGTTCATTTACAGTCTCGTGACGTGTTTCAATAAATCGTATAGGAGGAAAAATATTAGATAGATCGTAATGCAACAACTTTAATTTTCAAATCGCATCTTCTAGATGCCGTGATTTGTACCGTTATAAGATACAACAAGAGACGTTTCTAATTCATCTCGAACAAGGAGTCATGCACAATGGCGGGACTATTTCTGGTGTAATTACCTTCTATTCCTGATATCATCAAATCCAACCTGGCATTTCTGTATTCATCTTCGTCGATGTACACAGTCAATCTCACTTCACCACCTGTCAGCTGCTCTATTTCCTCAGTAACAAGAAACTCTTGTAAATTTGTCTGTAGTGTTTCATCCTGATAACTTTGCCATAGTGCGTCAAGAGCGAAAATATTTTCTGCTTGAATCGTAAATCGGATCGATCCTTCACCAATTGCACGCAAGAAATTTCCCAATGGAAGAACAGCTTCTTTGAAAGCATTGGTAAATTCTTCCATGTTGCGACTCTTGCGAAGGACCATCAATGTAGAGACGACCACGGTACCACCAACAAGATTGTGGAAAGTACAGTGAGGTGTAACAGCTGTAAAAAATGTAGAAATCACAGGGTTTACATCAGCCGCTTGTGGAGTCGACCGAGAAAGCGGAGCTAGCCAAAGAAACAAACGTTTGGGGAGAGTTGGCTAAGGAGAGCACTCCTTCACAGACTTCTCGCGTAATTCGCTTTCCCGCTTCTTTGCTTATCTCCAGTAACTGAGAGTCTAGCAAAGACTTAAGTAGAGTGGATTGCTATTTTCGAAAGTTATACGTTACTGAGACTGACGACAAGGAGGCTCATGAATAAAGAGAAGTGGATGGACCATAGACATAAGGTATTCAACAGGTCTTGCTCTGTGTCAGCGGGTTTTACTGTCTCAGGTTCTAGGTTCCACATAATTAGGCTCTACTTCTCAGCAAGATTAACCAACACTGTCTTACCTCCTATTAATTCTCTGCTTATTATTTCACCAGAATAAGCAAGAGCGGCTCCAGCTGGAATGAGAAATAAATCAATCATTGAATTAACAATTACAATATTCCATGGGCGCAAGTCTTAACTAATTTCTACACAGCAACCAGGAAAAAAATCCTTATGTACTCACGGCCGTACCATGTATATCATGATGTGTGCAGTATCACCTGCAAATTCATGCTGCAAATTCCTGTCGAGTTTAACCGCGAAGTTTCAAACCTTTCAAATTGTTTTTCTGTTTTATCCTGATCGAGATATACCTTTAAGAGCTCAAAATGAAATGTACATATCCTAGACAATACTTTTTTCGAAAAATCATTGATAATTAAGATCTTTCAAGCGACGAAATTAACAATGTCTTACCTCCTACTTTTCCAACAATAATCATTCCACGAGAAAGAACAGAAGCGGCTCCAACTGGAATGTGAAACAAATCAATCATTGAATTAATCATATCAAACTTTGCCTATTGTTATGGTTTAAATTTTTTCAAGACAATGAGCCTTTTGTTGTCTGGCCTTAGGGATTTTTCCGTCCGGTTTCGCGAAATTCTACCCTAGTCAAATCGGATTCAGTCGGAAAATTGTTACTGATGAAATTTTTTCCCAACGGTAGCCTACTTGGAAATCAAAGACAAACCAACAGGGGGTGGGTCAGTAAATTTCAAGAGTACACCAACTGCTTTGACTAAACTTTTGTCATACCGCGCGCGCATGTTTCGGCCTTACCGAGGTCACAGTTTTTCACCATACGGACCGACCCTTAGCCGGCAAATTACATATATATATCCGTGTAAGTTTATGTTTTAGCTCAGGTTTTAGCAAGCAAGCGGCGGTGAGTACCTGGAAGCGATGAGAACGGGCGGCTGCTCTGCATTATCTCAGTTTAGTATGCCTTATGCGTTATGCTTCTTTGAAAATGACTTCTGTTTAAATTTACTTGGTGCATGGCTTAACAATTATTTAACCAATTGCGCCTGGATCAACGTCGATCGGCAAGAAGACTATTTTGTCTTTTACACCTTTTCACGTTTGAATGATTTCGCTTTTCGCTAATTGTTCCACTGCTAACAGAAGAAAAGAAAAGAAAAGAAAAAAATAGAATGAAGACACACCGCTCGATGTCGAGAGATTACTTAGACTATTGTCAGGCCTCGCGTTTTTGTTTTTTGGTCTATTGAAGCAAGTAAACATCGCTGTTGAAGGCAAAACAAAAGGTGCGATTTTCGCACCTTTTTCTCTTTCAGTGATTTTATTCTCCCGTTAGCCATAAACTCTCAAACAAAAATCTTAATCGTTGCATTAGGTGAGTGAAAAAAAAATAGTGTGACTGGTTTGGAATTGCTTGCGCAAACCGTTGTTTGTTATTCCTTTTTTTCGCGACGACTCCCTACCTCGCGCGCGCTCACGTTTGTCGCAGATTTGTTTTTTATCTTTGCCCACGCGACGCCGCTCAGAGGGCGGGCCATTCACTAATTTAAGGTATTGCTCTGCAGTTGAAAAGTTCATAAATTTTATCAATGATACTTACATATCATACTTGCAAAAGCCTCGTAAAAACAAGTCATAATCACTTTAGACAATCCCTGATTGAGAGAAGAGCTAAGAAACATGAGTAAGTTTTATGAAGTATCGAGAGTGCTCGATAAGCGTACGGACCTTGGCTGTGTTAGTTTCAGAGGAGCTGAACATGAAGAAACCGCCAACAACCAGCATCGTGAGACGTGCGTCCGTTACCATGCCGATGGATACCGAGACCTTTAAAGAGTTGTTCGATGGATTTCCCTTGAATTTTAATATTCCGCGGGCACAAGTCTTACCTAATTCCTACAGAGCACTGAAACAGGCACAAAGATCGTTATGTACGCACGGCCGTGCATGTATATCATGACGTGTGTGCTTTCACTTGCAAATTCATGCTGCAAATTTCCGTCGAGTTTTAACCGCGAGTTTTCAAACCTTTCAACATTGTTTTTCTGTTCCATCCCGATTGAGATATACCTTTTAGAACTCAAAATGAAATGTCTATATGCTAGACAATACTTTTTTCGAAAAAACAATGAGAAGTACGACCTTCCAAGCGACGAAATTAGCTATAGAGTTAACGATATTTCGTTCCCAAACGTAATGCGAATTACGGCTGAAAAATAACAAAGCGATCTTTCTGAAATCGAGTGAGGCTTCGCGGCGAGGGGACAATTCTTTAGGACAATGACTAGTATTCAAAGTATTTATAGCGGAGCTCCCAGCACGAGCGTAGCCCCATAATTATACGAAGTAGTAGTAACTCACCAAGCTGAAAAATTTGGACTCACGACCGTACGACTGACCGCACAAGGTGCTACTTTAGGCATACGCGGCCAACTGCATTGCGGGCACTATCTTAGCCATTACGTAATGGAAGGGCGAAGAAGAATGTAATGCGCAGGTGCGATTGTGCGAGGGCTTCACGTGGGCTAGTAGATGTGAAGCCGCATGAGCGAGTAATTTGCAGTCCGCGTTTTGAGCGGGAAATCAAATTGGTTAGGATGTAGTTGAACAGTAATTTTCAGTATTTGCAATTTTAATCAACTCGCAAAGCAACAATACCGGCAGAGCTAAAGCTTTCTCAACCGGAGAAAATTGTTATAATTCAAGTTCGTGGAGAAAGGGTTTTGAGTGAAAAAGAAAGAGACAGAGGAACCAAAGACAGCAAGAAGTAAAAGGCGTAAAGCGAGTCGAGAAAAACGCGCAAGAAAGTTGGAAAGGAAGCTAAAATAGGCAAAGTGCGGCGAGGGGAACGCGAAAGAGAACAAGAAAAGGGATACGTAAAGAGGCGAATATCTAGCGAAGAGTAACGTGAGAAGGAAATACAAAGAACTCCAGAAAACAGACTGAAAAGTGGTCATCAACAAAGAGAAGCGAACCACAAAAGTGGTTTTCTCTCACGCTACGGCCCAGAAAAATTTAAACCTTTTTTCCCAATCTTCGTTTGATACTAGCTTCAGTTTATAATTCAAATCCCGTTTCCGTAAAACAATGGCATTCATTGCGTCAAAACCCTCGCGCCGGTTCATCGCTCGAGTAACATTTCAAAGTGTTCGTATTCTCCACGTTATTTCTTGTTCTGTCTTTTGGAATGATTAATACAGTCGTGATGTTATGGGAAAAGAAGTTATCTTACGGAAAGTGTTTTGCCTAGAAAGTTTTCAAATGATAGCGAACGGCGTGAGAAAGTTTCTATCATTCTCTCCTGAGTTAGCTATCGCATGGTTTACGTTATTTATCTTAAAAATCGCGCTTTGTAGAAGATTTGTTGTTTTACCCCTAGAACGTTGTAACAGCCTTTACTGAAGAATCAATCTCTGAAATTGATAGTCATTAAATTTTGCAAGAAGCGTCCAAGCTGTGATCGTATAATCAAACGGGGTCCTGGCAATTTGAGCTCACGAGCACGCTGGTAAGCACATGGTCAGCGTAAATAATTGTTGTTTGCAGATTTCGAATTCAAGAGCAGTTTTTGAGAGCCCATTTCTGTAACCTTCCTGGATATTTTCTGTTGAATTCATTGAGGTACAATCTCAGAATTTCATAAGTGGTTATGAACGACAAATTCGTATCGGCACCATAATTTAGGGAAGTTTTGTTAACATGTTATTAGTTTACAATATTCGTGAACATCTCTGTAACCTGCTTGAATATTTTCTTTTGAATTAATTGAGTCACAATCTCGGGATTACATCAGTAATAAGAACGATAAATCCATATATGTAGCACGAGTGAAGCACCTTTTAAACTTTCTACACGATTTTTGGAAATTATACTTAATTGACTCTCGATAAATTGGCCAGATGTAACTCGTTGATTATTTTATTATTTTGTAGCCCCAAAAGCCTGACTTTGTGACTCTAGAGGTACTGAACTTGTTATATTTGATACACGAGGCACCCCTCAAGGAGGAAGCTCAGAATAAAATTGCTTTTACGACCGCATATTGCACTCGGGTTACATATGTAGATAATTACTTAAAAATACCTATTGTAGCTGTATTCAGAAGCATAGACATGTGGGTATTGTGCTTATGCTTTAATTTATTCTAAGAGGTTTCTTTTTATGTAACACATATCCATCCTTTAATTTCCTCCTTAACTTGCCTGCAAATAATTAAATTTTATGTTTTAGTTCAAGTGTGAGAAGATAAAACAGAAGTGTTGCAGAGTTCTCTATCCAGATTGAATTCAGGTGAGAACATCAGTATACTAGTTAATGACCAATAATCCCCCAATTGATATTTTTCTTTATTCTCATTACTTGTCTTCTTGATATCATATAGATAGCATAAGGAGAAATTCTTTCTAGGTCACTAGTTGGACTTAAAGGGTTAAAATGGGAGATTTAATTATAGCGGAACTCCAGCGTAGGCCCATAACTATACGAAATAGTAGTAACCCATCAAGCCGAAAAATTTGGTTGTACGACCGTACGACCGTACAAGGTGCTACTTTTAGCATGCGCGGCCAACTGTACCACGGGCACTATCTTAGCCCTTAGTAATTGAAGGGGGAGGGAGAAGGTAATGCGCAGGCGCGATTGCGTGCGTAACTTGGATACCCCATTAGTGTACGCCAAGAGACACCGTCAGAAGACGATAAAGTGCGCATACTCGAACGACGAGCTGCAGTGTAGCGTACTGCGGGCACACGGTTAGGCATTGCACGAGGGCTTCACGTGAGCTAGTAGATGAAATTTGCCACCCGCGTTTTGAGCGGGAAATCAAACTGGTCAGGATGTAGTTGAACAGTAATTCTCAGTATTTTGCAATTTCTAAACAACTCTTAAGACAACAATACCGGCAGAGTTTAAGCTTTGTCAACCGGAGGAAATTGTTATAATTCAAGTTCGTGGAGAGAGGGTTTTAATTGAAAATAGGCTGGATATAAAGAGACAGAGCGACCAAAGAAAGCAACAAGTAAACGGCGTAAAGCTAGTCCAGAAAATCGCGCAAGAAAGTTACAAAGGACGCAAAAATAGGCAGAATACGGCGAGAGGAACGCGAACGAGAACATGATTAAAATATTCTTATGCTTTCAAATGTACCGGTAACAAAATAATGTGATGAGAATCTGATGATATGAAACACTTGCAATGGAAAAACCTGTTGTTGGTAGCTTATGTCTTTAATGCTTAAATTTTCATGGGAGATGCTTTTCTTTGAAAGTGGGGATACAGAAGTTTTTAAAGCTGATAGAAGTAAGCTGTTTGCAAGTAATAAAAGGCAAACTGACAATCATACCTTAATGCTTGACATGCTTCACTCACACATGTCAGTTGTGTGTAACTACCATTGTAGAGGTGTCTTTAAAAAGGTTTTTTTTGTGTTACACAAGGCAACCTCCAGGATGGAAGAGTAGAAGACCACAGAATGATGTTTACTTGGCA